ATTGTATTCCCAGGAGCTATTTTTTGGGATTAGATATATTTGCCCAAGTTTCCACTTGTCTGGGATCTTGCTTTGTTTGAGAATCACATTCATCAACCTTAAAATTTTCTCAATCACTTTGGGTGATAGTTTTTTAAAAAGAATATATCTGATATTCGAGATCCCAGGTGCTGTATCATTTCTAGTTTTACTCAAAGCATTCTTCTAATGTGAAAGGAGCTGTAATTCCTGTATATACTTCAGGGTCAATTTCTTTTTTGCTTATACTCTTCCTTTCACTCTGCTTTTATCTCCTTAAATTTCTGGTTTCTTCTTCTAAATTGTTTTTCAAAATGGGAAATAACTTGTCATTTTATACCTTCTTTATCATTAATTAATTCTAGATCACAGACTCTAGAATTTTCTCCCACCAGTACTCTATCAATTGTAACCTTATTATATAGTCTATTTAGAAGGCTTTGGAGCATTCTTTTTTTGTTTTTTTCTATTATACTGAATCTCAGTTCTATTTTTTCCTAAATTTCCCTCTTCTTCTTTTTACTCTTCTTCGCTTGCTTTCTTTCTCAGAATTTTACCCCAGTTTTTTAATTCTACTAGTTGAATTTGATTCCACCACTCTGGCAAATGTGCAATCTGTGTCTGATGTAGTTGGTTTATTTTATCAATTCTTATATTTAAACTTTTTCTCTCTTCGAGATTGATTTTTTCTCCTGGGCTTTTCTTGCTTCTTTTTTGTAACTGATATAAAAATTTAATTTCTCTATATATTTCTGACCTCGAAACTGATTTTCTTTCTTGTGCTTCAGTTTTCTTAACATTAATTTATAGTATATATTCTAATGCTACACTCATTATTAAGCTACTAATTTTATCTCATTTATTATTAATATCTATAAATAAAGTGCATGAAGGGGTTTCTGCAATTCTAGCTTGTTCTTTTGCAGAGAGGGAGTGCACTACCCATGAGCTATAGGTCTTCCAATCTTCTAGTGCTGCTTTATGATATAAAAAAACTTTTCTGGATGGTTTTTTTTGCTTTCTTTTGCTAAGTTTTCTATATCCAAGTATGTTGCTCAGATTTAGTTTTGCATATACTATTTTGTGATCACTGCCTATTATTAAATTAATATCTTTGATTAAAGCTTTATCAAGAAAAATGCTCAGTTCTTCTCCAATCTATATATAGTCAATTCTCGAAGCCACTTCATCATTTTGCCATGTATATTCTTTTTTATATAGATTCAAATATCTAAAAGAATCTTTCATTTCTCTATTTCTAAGCCATTCAAGAAGAGTTTTCCCTAAACCTTGATTTTTGCGATTTGTATTACTAGTGTCCAATCTTGTATTACTTACTGCATTAAAATCTCCGAGTATGCATGTATATATGTCGATCTAATTCTTATATATTTCTTGTATTACTATATGTTTCACTTCTTTGTTAATTTTTTTATCTGCTAGTAGCAGATAAATTACCCATATCTGAAGAATCGCTTTTTTAAAAAAAAACTCTAGCTTTAACGCATACGGATTGAACTTTCTAACTACAGCTAAATGTTTTGTACATTTTCTACTAACTAAAGCTCTTACTCCTGAGCCCTTTATTTTATCTATTTCTTTCGATGACCAAAAGCCTAAATACCTCTTATGTTCTATGTCTAACCATTTACCCTTTGTCTCATTTATATTAGTTTCCATAATTACGATGATGTCTAAACTCTCTTCTTTTCCTAAAATCGCTAGACTCCTTAATTTCTGCCCATTTATCTTTAATCCGTTAATATTATGGAAACCTACACTAAGCTACTCGAAATCATTATTACCTATTGAGTCCTCACATTGTTTGTGTATTTTGGGCTCTCTCAAAACAGAAGTGAAGATTTCTGTTTTGCCTATATTTGCTGCTGCACCAATGGTGCCTCTTAGGAGTGCATCGCAATTATTTGTTCTATTGTTTTAAACTTCTGTTTCAAGTCTGCAAGGATTTCATCTAAACTAGAGCCTTCTTGTGTTGTAGGTTTTTTCCCTTTTCTATCACCGATTGGCACACTGTTTGAACCTGATGCATGTTCTAATATCTGTAAAAGATTTGTGTGATTTATATTGGAGAGGGGGCTTTCTAATATTACTTCTGGCATGTAGGTTGTTTCCTTTTCTCTCTACCTACAAAAACTCTATTGGTGTTTATGCTTTTTTTGGGCCTCTGATTTCTATTTTCTTGGTACTTTCGTGTGTGGTATTCACTATTATCTGTGCTTCTCTTTGTCTTTTCTTTTTTTCTCTGATTTTTTTTATTTTTATAGAAGCTACTTTTTTCAAATCTAGAATTTTCATCCTATTTCAATCTAGTATTATAGTAATATGGAGTTGTTGATTTTGCTTTTTGCAAATCTGACAATGACACAAAGTATACGAAAGCTGCTTCTCTCTGATGCCATGTCTATTGACTGGTATGTACACCATTTTTGCTTTAAGTTTATTAAGTTGATGGTACATTAGAATAATTTTGAAAAGATTTAAATAAACTCCACTTTAGCCTTCTTCCTTTTTGTAATTTTCTAATCAATCTTATATTTGCTATATTTATCTTACTTACTACTATTTAATTTTTTTGTTAAATACAAAACTATCTGCCTTTTACCTAATTATTAATTTATTTCATTTCACTTCTTTGCTTTCTATAAGCTTTCATCTTTATTTTATATCATTTTCTCTATTTCCCATATTTTATCATTTATTTCACACTATTTTGAATTTATTTTATTTTATTTTTTATTTTTCTTTCTTTCACTTTTTTTCTTTATTTTACTTTTTTTTATTTTTTATTTTTTTATTTTATTTTTTATTTTATATCCTTTATTATTTTTATATATTATATACAAAATGCTAGCTAATAGACAAGACAAATTAGAAAGAGCAGTTGCTAAAAGAGAGCAAGAATTTTTAGCTATAACAGCTTATGATACTGTAATTCAAACAGATGCAGAGCAGGTTGCTATACAACCTTGCGAATCATTTGGCTCTATATCTACTAATATTCAACATACTTCTGATGGTTAAAATTTATTATTTAATTTAGTTTAT